CCGTGCGATGCGGCTGGTGCCCTATGCTAGCCTAGCCTTCGCATGGCTAGGTCAATGCGAAGCTACAACTTAGCTTGAACTAATCGTTTGCTTGATTTCTTGTCTCATCGAATTCTAAATTCGACTCGACTTACGACGCTTGGTTTCGACACTCTAAGCTCGATATCCGAAGTCTTTGTACGTAATACTCTAATGACTCATCTAATCCTTCGGATTGATTCGTCGCCTCGGATGGGTTACTCGATTGGGGTGTGACTCGAAGGGTTCAGTCAAGGTTAAGCTGTAATATTAATTATACATTAATATTACTGATCGAAAGCGGCCTCCACCTAGGCATTCCGATCACTTGTCCTCACTGAATAATTATCTTTCTAATAATTCCGAACCCTATGTCGGAATAATACACTTGTTGGAAAGACACCATTCCTTTCAATCTCCCACTTGTCTTTCCGGACAAGTGTGCAGTTAGTGTATAACCCATTTCCTATGTCACTTAATGTCTCTGCATGAACTATAAGGTAAGATTCTTCGTCATCCTTATTACGTCTAGAAGTGTTTCTCGATTTCCGAGTTCGACTGTCAATAAGCAGATGATGATTTATAAAATCCATATGAGCATGGACATATATTTTCAGTCTTGCTCTTAGAGAGGCCTTGTAAACAACAAAGACATGTTCCTTACTGTTAATAGGGGGATATTTCCATTCTTGTATTGTTAGCTTACCTTACTAAGAGGCCCTAGCCGCCCGAGTGTTGCCTTTATAATCCCTTGTACGAAAGATGGTTGACAACATCAAAAATGGACTAGTACTCAAACAAGAGAACTTACAATACTCAAGGTTGAGGAAAGAGGTTCCGATAGCCATAATGAGTAGTATACTTATGAAGATTGTTAGATCTCTTAAAGTATTCTCATAGGTCGATCTGGTATAGTTCCAAACAAAACCCGTGCAAATGATTTATGACAATTATGTCCTTGTAGCATAAGAAACGGTGCTATAAATCATACTACACACTAATCTCAAGTGGTCATTAATCATCCATCATTTAAATGACCTTGATTAGGGATAATTTTCGATTGAAATATTCAATGTTCACTTAACATGTGTATCTTTATCCAAGACATGGTCTTGATACCCTGTTTTGAATATTCTCACAAAACGAATGGACTCATTATTTAATTCAAAACCACAATTAAATAGAAATGGAATGATAATAATTTTGCTGAAAATTTAATTACTCCAAAAACGAATGGTTTAACATAGTGCTTTACATTAAAACCTCAAATTTAATTAAAACACATAAACAGGGAAATCAAAGCCAATCTCCAACATTCTTGAATCCCATTGCCTCAACGTGCTTGTTGTGCTTCACTTGAGGTAAAGTTTTAGTGAGTGGATCGGCTATGTCGTCCGTTCCAATCTTACAAATTCTTATTTCACCCTCGGACTTCCATTCCCTTATCATGTGAAATCTCCTCTTGACATGTTTGACCTTCTGATGTTCCCTTGGCTCCCTGGCCTGAACAATAGCTCCATTGTTATCAAAATAGAGATATATCGGACCCTTGATGGAGGGTACAACATCAAGTACGCTAATGATCTTACGAATCCAAACTGCCTCCTTAGCTGCTTCTGAAGCTGCCAAGTATTTGACTTCAGTTGTAGAATCTGTAGTAGTGCTTTGCTTAGCACTCTTCCAACTAAACGCTCCTCCATTTAGACATAATATGTACCCTGACTGCGACATGGAGTCATCTCTGTCAGTCTGGAAGCTTGCGTCGGTAAAACCTTCAACAACCATATCATTACTTCCACTATAGACCGGGAATTTATCCTTATTCCTTTTCAGGTATTTTAGGATATTCTTTAACGCAGTCCAATGCGCCTCTCTTGGGTCTGGTTGGTATTGACTCGTACCACTCAAGGCATACGATACATCTGGCCTAGTACATATCATGACATACATAATCAATCCAATAAGCGAAGTATATGGAATCTGATTCATCCCCTCTCGCTCATCAGGTCTCTATGGACACTGCTTCTTCCTGAGAGTTATGCCATGTGACATGGGTAGGTGCCCTCTCTTGGCCCCTTCCATGTTGAATCGTGCCAGTACCTTATCAATATAAGTACTTTGGCTCAATCCAATCATCCTTTAGATCTATCCCGATAGATCTTAATGCCCAATATGTACTGTGCCTCTCCCAAGTTGTTCATTGAAAAGCACTTGCCAAGCCAGCTAGGCCTTTACGGACTCTAACATATCGACATATAAGACGAGGAATGCGATGTCACTCCCACTGACCTTCTTGTAAACACAAGACTCATTTGGATTCTTGATAAAACCAAACTTATTAGTGGCTTCATCGAATCGCAGATTCCAACTTCTGCTTGCCGCTTTAATCCATAAATGGACTTCTTAAGCTTGCATACCTTCCCAGCATTGCTTGGATCAACAAAACCTTTCGGCTGTGTCATGTACACAATTTCTTCCAAAATCCCATTAAGGAAGGCGGTTTTGACATCCATTTGCCATATTTCATCGTCATAATATGCGGCAATTGCTAGGATAATCTGGGCGGACTTAAGCATGACGATTGGCAAAAAGGTTTCATCATAATCAACGCCGTGAATTTGCCTGTATCCTTTTGCCACTAATCTAGCCTTTGTATATAGATACATTTCCATCTTTGTCGATTTTCAACTTGAAAATCCACTTGCAACCGATAGGTGTGTAACCTTCGGGCAAATCAACCAAGTCCCAGACTTGATTTTCAAACATGGATTCCATCTCGAATTACATGGCCTGTTTCCATTTTTCAGAGTCGGGGCTCGTCATAACTTGTTTGTACGTCGCTGGCTCATCTCCATCCATAATTAGGATGTCTTGATCTTCAGGTAAGATAATACCGAGGTATCTGTCTGGTTGAGATCTTGGCCGATGTGACCTACACTTCTACAAAAATAGGCAAAGAGATCTATTAAAAGAGACCTGTTACAAGACTTAACAGGTTTCTTGGTAAAAAAGACTTGTTGTTACTATAACAGGTCTCTAATGAGCTTTTTGTTGGCGGGAATAAAACAATGAGACTTGTTGTTAGTGTTAAGAGGTCTCTTTGTTTTTATTACTATTTGTTTAATCTTAAAATTATTTATGATTTCTTATATACTAGTATCACGTGTACACTAGTATCAAATACTAAGAAGCATTTTACAATTATTGAGTAAAATTTTGTTAAAAATAATAAAATAAAAATTAAAGACTACTAACTTCCTTTTTTTTTTTTTTAGGAAATGTGTACTACGCTAATACTAATTATCTTAGACTAACACTTCCTAACCAAAAAATAAATTAAAGTAAGAGTTAAAAGGAGGTGTAGAGTAGTAGCACTGTAGCAGCAATTTCGTCTTCCTCCTCCAAAAACCCAAACCCTTGAACTTCCATGGTTTCCTTCCCAAGTTTTTCACCACCTAATAAGAGGCGATCGTTTTTAATATTGTGTCCACCATCATCCACTTTGTAAGGCCGCCACCATCGTCTAGTTTACAAGGCCGCCATCATCTGAAGCATACTCGGGTCACGACTATCAACCACTCTGTTTCAGGCGATTGTACAAAGGTAAGTTGTTCACATTCCGGGCCACGTCCCCCAACCACAAATTCATTCTTCTTTCATTGTTCACTATTAATTATTGATAAAGATTGTTCAATTTCCAACCATAATATAAGCAATTGCACTACTTTACATTTGATCGATTTCCCGCCACAACCAGAAAAATTCTTATTCTATTTAAGGTATTTTTCATTCCTGTTCCTTACCCAGACAAATAAGCATGCGTCTTATATGTGAATATACTTGGCCTCCAGCTAGATTGAATTTATAGCATTCGTGATTCGTGAACTTCTGTATTTAAGTTGTGCAACATTAACGATTAGCCAATTGATTTCGTAATAATTTATTCTGCCTTGTTTATAGTTGTACAATGACAATTACGCTAATGAGGCTATTGAGTGATCATTTTGTAATATCAGATAGCGTAGTAAATGAGTTGAGGAAATTGGATACTTATTAGAAGTTCCATTTTTCTTTGTGTTTGGTGCTTCTTCTGTTTTACAATAAATTTTGGCGGCTTTTGTCCTCAATTGTTTACCCCATAGTTATATTTTGATTGTGTGGAGTTGATGACAAGGAAAAGTGGTGATCCTAAATATTTAATATACGTTGTAAAATTTGAGTAAAGTTGTGGTTCCTCGTGTATATGTATGATATGGGACAATCTTTTAGGGATACTCTAAAAAAGATAATGTGGCAAAATTTAAGGGACAAAGAGTTTTTTGATTCAAGTGTTGAAGAGTAAGAAGCTCAACTCAAAAATTGAAACTGGCCTCAAGTTGAAACACTAGGTTATGATCAACATTTGTGACTTTTTTTTCTTAAACTCGATAATCTTTGTTGCCATGGGTTATAGTATTAAAATTTTGTCTTGCTTTTAAAGTCTATTGTACTGTAAATGGATTTAATGTTTCTTTTTATTATTCTCTAATTGAATACAATGTTCTGAATTAATATGATATTAATTCAGATGATTCATGTTTAGTTTATAGCCTTAAAAATTCTGCTTGCATATGTGGTGGCTGCTTGGGTTATGGTTTCAAATTTGATTTTCCCGTGAAAATTATGGTTTTGTCGTTTTTCGGTTGATAAAAATATTTTGTCTAATCTAGTAAATATTTGTTGTATTCTCTAATTAATATCTTGTCACCCCCTTCGCTATAATCAAGACTTACATGTACATATATGTGAAGACATTATCGCTTTCGAAAATATTATGATTATTATAAAGTCTTGAATTGCTATTGGTGCATATAGAATGGATCGAAGTTGGTTATCAACAAAAAAAACCGGGTGACCCAGAATATCAAGCAGGTGTTAGAGAGTTCATTAATTTTGCAGTTACTAATAGTGGTGGTCGTCCCAAGCTACCATGTCCTTGTTATATGTGCCACAATTTGCTACATAAGAGGTCGGGCGAAATACTTAATCACTTGAGTAAGTGGGCATTTGATAGAACATATACCAATTGGATTTGGCATGGAGAATGTAGGGAAAAACCTCTTGTTAGTAATGTAGCGGGTAGTGTGTGTGAAGGTGATAGCACAAATGAGGCAGATAATTTAGAAGATTTGTTGCATTCAGTGAAGGATAACTTTGATGATAATCCTACCATGTTAGAGAGCATTTTAAATGACTCTGAAAAGCCTTTGTATGACGGTTGCACTAAGTATACTAGATTGTCTGCTATAATCAAGTTATACAATTTGAAAGCAGGTCATGGTTGGACTGATACAGGCTTCAGCATGCTACTAGAAGTTGTCAAAAACATGCTTCCAGAAGACAATGTCCTTCCATCTACTACTTATGAGGCAAAAAAGAGTTTAAGCTCTATGGGTTTACCTTACCATGCGTGTCCTAACAATCGCACGTTGTATAAAAATGAAAATGAATCTTTACAGAGCTGCTCAATTTGTAAAGCCTCGCGGTATAAGAAAAGTGGTGGCACAATCCCTGCTAAGGTATTATGGTATTTTCCAATAATACCACAGTTTAGGCGGCTGTTCTCAAATGCAGGGGATGCAGAGAAATTAACATGGCATCATTATGGTCGATTAGATGATGGAATGCTTAGACACCCCGCCGATTCTCCGCAGTGGAGGTTTATTGATGGAAAATACCCAGACTTTGCAAAAGAGAAGCGTAATCTAAGGCTTGCATTGTCTACAGATGGGTTCTATCCATTTAGGAACTTGAGTAGCACATATAGTACATGGCCTATCATATTGGCTACTTATAACTTACCTCCTTCATTGTGCATGAAACCACGATATATGTTTTTAGCATTGCTAATTTCTGGGCCTAAACAACTTGGAAATGACATTGATGTGTATTTAGAACCTCTCATTGATGGTTTGAATATTCTTTGGGAGGATGGTATACAGGTGTTTGACGCACATCGTAACGAGAAATTTATCATGAAAGCAATGTTGTTTAACACCATCCAAGATTTTCCTGCTTACGGTAATCTTTCTGGGTATACCATGAAAGGGAAAGCACCTTGTCCCATAGGCATGGAGGATTGCGGGGGAGAATGGTTGAGCGCATCACGCCAGCATGTGTTCCCTATACATCGGCAATATCTTCCTTCGAGTCATCCATTTCGTAAGAGGAAAAAGGCCTTCAATGGGAAACAAGATTTTAAAGGTCGCCCAAGATCTCTGTCAAGTGAAGAGGTCTTTGAAAAGGTTAAAGACATTCAAATTACCTATGGGAAAAAGCATAGGTCTGCTCTTCCTACGCAAGGCTTTAAGAAGTGTTCATATTTATGGCGCCTACCTTATTGGAGATTCCTTTTTGTGAGACATTTGCTTGACGTGATGCATATTGAAAAGAATGTGTGTCATAGTTTGATTGGTACTTTATTGGATATTCGTGGGAAAACTAAAGATGGCACGAAAGCTAGAGATGACTTACAAACCATGGGGATTAGAAGTGAACTCCATGCTGTTGTGAATGACAAAGGTCGAGCATACCTGCCTCTAGCAGCTTATACATTGTCAAGAAAAGAGAAAATTGAGTTTTGTGAGTGCTTGGCTGGAGTAAAAGTGCCAGAGGGTTATTCTTCAAATATTCGCAACCTTGTGAATATGGAAAACTTGAAACTTGTGGGCCTTAAATCTCATGATTGCCATGTTCTAATGCAAAATCTATTACCAGTGGCTATTTGTTCAATTTTGCCTAAAAATGTTCGTTTTGCCATGACCAGACTTTGTTTATTTTTTTAATGCAATTTATAGCAAGGTCTTTGATCCTAAAGAGTTGACTGCATTGGAAGATGGAATTGTTGTAACTTTGTGCCAATTAGAAATGTACTTTCCACCATCGTTTTTTGATGTCATGATTCATTTACTAGTTCACTTGGTTAGAGAGGTGAGATTTTGTGGTCCTGTGTACTTGAGAAATCAGTGGCCTTTTGAAAGGCAAATGAAAACATATGGCGGTTATGTCAAGAATGCTTTTCACCCTGAAGGTTGTATCGTTGAACGAATTTTTTATGAAGAAGTTCTTGCATATACTAGTGAATTTATATCAAAATCTATGAAGATATGGCTTCCCGTTTCTCGACATATGGGAAGAATGGGTGGTCAGGGGACCCTAGGCCGTAAACAACTTGACATTTCTTATGACGATTGGCACAAGGCCCATTCGTACATTCTTCACAATGAGGATGAAGTAATGCCATATATTCAAAAACACATGAGAGACTTGAGGAAATACAATAGAAGAGCAAATGAGAAATCAATAGCTGATGAACACAATAGATCGTTCATTAGGTGGTTCAAGGATCAAGTTTTGAGGGAGCTTCAGGATTCTCCGAGTTCTATTTCTGATCGACTTAAGAGTTTGGCATATGGACCTAATTTCAACGCTACTTACTATTCAGGTAATGTTATCAATGGTTTCACATTTTACACAAGGCTGGAAGATGAAAATAGTACTATGAAAAATAGTGGGGTTACTGTAGAGGTTGAAGCTATTCATTTTTCTAGTGCAAAAGACAAGCATCTCGTTTCTAGCACAATGCGATACTATGGATTTATTGAAGAGATTTGTGAGTTGTATTACTCCAACTTTTCAATACCAGTTTTCAAATGTCAATGGGTTGATAATAACAACGGGGTTGATCATAGTAGCCTTGGAATGACTTTTGTTAACCTTAATAAGGTTGGTTACAAGGACGATCCTTTTATTTTATGTAGTCAAGCTAAACAAGTGTTTTATATGACTGATCCATCAAATAAGAGAATGTCAGCTGTTATAACATCGAGACCACGACATGCCATAGATGATTGGGGCGATGATAGTGTTTTGGAAGGTAGTTATTTGCTGGGAAAGGGACTAGTTGATGATGATGTTGCTGATGATTCTTCGATCTACACAAGAGATGACCACAATGAAGGTTTGTGGGAAGATGATGATAACAATAATAAAGTGAAGCGAAATCGAAAGAGAAAGCGTAGTCGTAAAAAATCTTAAGGGGTTCAAGGTGAATTTTACTTTTATATATCTACTTTTATTACAAAAGAGAATGTTTCCTCTTAAATGCTAATAACATTGAATTTAGTAGGGTTATGCATGCTTCTTCAGATCATATACTCTCACGTACCATGCTAGCTATCTTTTACTCAAGTATTTTAATAATGTGTCGTGTTCTTTTATATAACTAACAAAGTGAATTTAACTTGTAAATTTAATGTAGGTACATGGCCAGAAAGAAAAAGAAAGTACAACCGAATGATGATTTCGAAGAGTCAAGTTGTGAGGAGAGAGGCCGTACTGTACTTAAAAAGGTGGGGAAGACTATCCATGCTGGCTCCTAAATCCCATTACAATGGCATCCAAGTAAAAGAATTCCCACTGGTGAACACAAGACTCATTTTTCCACCTACATTGGTGTAATGGCACGTGAAAGAATAAGCATTGCCTACAAAGATTGGCATGAAGTTCCAACAGGAGTGTTAGATGAAGTTTATGGATTTATCTCGATAAAATATACTAATCATGTATTAGAATGGCAAGATCATTTTATATTTAAGTTTTTTTTTTGTACTAACTTATAAATTTGTTTTGTTTGAACATAGAAGGGGTTTTATGTTCTTGAGAATCGCAAAGGTTATGTACTAACACGAGCATCGATTCGATGGAAAGCTTTCAAGACTAGATTAAGAACCACGTGGCTATATAAAAGAGATAAAACACTTCGTCAAAAGCCACCACACAAGTATCCTTTTATATGTGAATCAGATTGGGATACCTTTGTTCAAATCTGCACTTCTGATGAATTTAAGGTATACTTTGATTTATTACATCATCTAAACAATAATGTGAATATATATGTACATGTAAACAGTTTTATCAATTGACTTTGAACTTTAAAAATATGTAGGAATTGAGTGAAAAGAATCGTGAAAAGGCAAAGAAGAAGTCCTCAAGTTATCGTGGCGGTAGACTTGGGTACCAATATTTTGAAGAGGAGATTGTAAGTGTTAATTACATGATGTTTACTTACTTTGATTTTGCACAATTTAATAATATATTAACTAAATATTCAAAATTGGTTTTCTGTACTATTAGGTAAAAGAACTTGAAAAGCAAGGAGTCCATGTGTCACAAGTGTCGCGACATCTAACTTGGATTAAAGCTCATTCTCATGTCAAAGATGGAGTTATAACATTTGACAATCTTGCTGATAAAGAAATCCATGATGCAATAGTAAGATAGTATATTTAATATTTTTAAATGTTTTACTTTTCAAGCATTTAAAATTTTTCTTTTCATAATAATAATCTTTGCAAATACTTTTATTAAACTTGATCTTTTGTCTGTTTTTCAAATAACATTAAAGGGTCAAGTTCAAAGAGGTGCAATCATTGTTAGGGGTCGAGGTGATATCTTAGCCAAAGCAATTCATAAGAGTGAGCATGGTGGTTTAGTGAGAGGTGTTGGTTCAGGCATTACAGTGAAGGATTATTTTGGTTATAACAAACCTGCTCCACCCAGCCAATTGCATGCTGAAATAGGCATGATGAAATCGAAACTTGTCTCCATGGATAACAGACAAAATTTTATGATGTCCTTCTTGATGTCATGCTGCAGCCAAGAGCAAATAAAATCTTTCACGGCTGTTGGAGGTCAACAGGTTGGTTTAGGTGGATTTTTTGGTGGCGACAATACTTCTAGTAGTTTGGATGCTGGGTTTGGTGGCCTGACAGGTGGGTCAGGTGGGTTACGTGGGTTTGGTGGTGTAGGGTTTCATAGTGACCCGACACTACGCGGAAGGAAACCCACCAAGACCCGCCCCTTAATTAAAGTAATTAAACAAGCATAATAAACTTAATCAAACAAGATTAAGGACAAGAATTATACCTTTGACGCGTGCTTCTCTCCCAAAGAGCTCTTACTTCAAAATCCCGAAAAGACGAGATCTCCGACGGATCGTACCCTCGACCCGACCCGAGCGTCCTAAGTCTTGAAGGTTAGTCAAGACCCGGACAAAAATAACTATGAGTTTTACGAATCAAAGGTTTACTCTTTTCAAGAGTTGCCTTTTTAATTCCACTCAAGGTTGTCTCAAATCCCAATACCAAGCTTGGTATTTATAGGGAAATGATCCCTTGATTTTTCATCCTCCACTAATGTGGGAGAATGTATTTTTGCTAATTAATTTATTTCTAAAATAAATTATTAAACAAAACTAATCACAATGCAACAAGTGTCAAATAGAGAGAGAAGGTTAGGTGAGGACCACGCATCTCTCTCTCGCATCGCATCGCTAGCACAGTCAGCATGCGTGCTGCTAGCGAGCCACGCATGCTGCCCGCACTGACCCTCGCATCATGCGCACACGCCTCCTGCCCACACGCACTGGCACCATGCTACGCTTGCACTAGCCAGTGCCTAGAACTGCTTGTTCTTGGTGCGAGGCATGCGCACATGCATGCGTGGTGCTGCTACCTAGCACCTAGCCAGCCATTGCATGCACACACACCAGCCCACACGCATCAGTGCGGCTGCTGTGCGAGGCTAGTGTGCGAGGCTGCGAGGTACACACACGCACGCCCCTGGCATTGCGATGGTGCTTGTGCGTGGTGCCAGGCCTTGCGATGGTGCCTAGCAATGCGATAGGGCACCATATGCACCCAGTCACCACGCTAGCATGTTGCTAGCTGCTATGGGCTGCCTGGTGCCTGTGTGGCTTGCGATAGGTCCCATGCGCACCTAGGCACCCATGCTAGCATGCTGCTAGCTTGCGATGGGCTGCCAGGGTGCGCCTAGGCTGCGATGATGCCTAGCACACCATGGTGCGCCTAGCACACACATGGCGCGCCTAGGCATGCTATGAGCTAGCCTAGCCTAGCTACGGCTACACTCATACTTGTTGCTTGTGATTTTGCGACGATCGGTATCGACGCCCTAGGCTCGATTTCCGACGTCTGTATTCGTAAAACTCTGTCGACTCATTAAATCCTTTCGGATTAATTCGACGTCTCGGATCGGAGATTCGATTGGGTTCGACCCGAAGGGTTCAGTTAAGATTAAGCTGTAATATCAATTGTACCTCGATATTACTAATCGGAAGCGGCCTCCACCTAGGCATTCCGATCACTTGATCTTACTGAAGAATTAGCTCTGTAATAATTCTGAACCCTCTATCGGAATAATACACTTGTTGGAAGGACACCATTCCTTTCAATCTCCCACTTGTCCTTCCGGACAAGTGTGCATATTGTGTATAGCTCATTTCCTTTGTCACTTAATGTTTCTTCGTGAACTATAAGGTAAGATTCTTTGTCATCCTTATTACGTTCAGAAGTGTTTCTCGATCTCCGAGTTCGACTGTCAATAAACAGATGATTTCTAAAATCCATCTGATCATGGCCATGCATTTTACAGTCTCACTCTTCGAGCGACCTTTTAAACAACAAAACATTTTCCCTATTGTTAGTAGGGGGACAATCCCAGTCTTGTATTGTAAGTTCTTCTTACTAAGAGGACATAGACTCCCGAGTGTTCCCGTTATGATCCCCAGTTACGGCAGACGTTTGGAAACATCAAAGAGCCTAGTACTCAAACAAGAAAACTTCACAGTAATCATGGTCGGAGGAAATAAGTTCCGATACTCATAATGAGAAATGTACTTATGACAAAATTTAAATCTTCTTAAAGTACCTGTGCAAATGATTTATGACTGTCACGTCCTCGCAGCACAAGAAACAGTGCTGTAAATCATACTACACACTAATCTATTGCGGTCATCAATCGTCCATCTGTTAGATGACCTCGATTAGGGATACTTTTCGATTTAATATTCAATGTTCACTTAACAGGTGTTTCTTTATCCAAGACATGGTCTTGATACCCTGTTTTGAATATTTCCGTAAATCGAATGGACTCATTATTTAATTCTAAACCACAATTAAATAGTAATGGAGTGAATGATAATTTTGCACAAAAATTAATTACTCCATTAATGAATGGTTTTAGTACAGTGTCTTACATTAAATCAATCCTGTTTAATTAAAACACTTGTACATGGAATATCAAAGCCAATCTCCTATGTGCTTGATTCCCATTGCCTCAACGTGATTGTTGTGTTTCACTCGAGGCAAAGGTTTAGTCAAAGGGTCGGCTATATTATCATTCGTGCCGATCTTACAAATTCTGATTTCACCTTCGGATTTCCATTCCCTTATCATGTGAAATCACCTTTGCACGTGTTTGACCTTCTGGTGTTCTCTCGGCTCCCTGGCCTGAGCGATAGCTCTATTATTATCATAATAGAGATCTATCGGCCCCTTGATTGAGGGTACAACACCAAGTTCACTGATGAACTTGCGAATCCAAACAGCTTCCTTGGCAGCTTCCGAAGCGGCCAAGTACTCGGCTTCAGTTGTAGAGTCTGCAGTGGTGCTTTGCTTGGCACTCTTCCAGCTGAACACTCCTCCATTAAGACAGAATATATACCCCGACTGTGACTTGAAGTCGTCTCTGTCAGTCTGGAAGCTAGCGTCGGTGTAACCTTCAACAACCAGTTCTTTGTGGCCTCCATACACCAGGAATTTATCCTTGTTCCTTTTTAGGTACTTAAGGATGTTCTTGGCCGCAGTCCAATGCGTCTCTCCTGGGTTCGATTGGTATCGACTCGTTGCACTCAGGGCATACGATACATCTGGCCTTGTACATATCATGGCATACATGATCGATCCGATTAGCGAAACATATGGGATCTGATTCATTCTTTCTCGCTCACCAGGTGTCTGTGGACACTGTTTCTTGCTGAGAGTTATGCCATGGGACCTGGGTAAATGCCCTCTTTTGGCATTTTCCATGTTGAATCGAGCCAGTACCTTATCAATGTAAGTACTCTGGCTTAATCCAATCATCCTCTTAGATCTATCCCTGTAGATATTGATGCCCAATATGCACTGTGCCTCTCCTAAGTCCTTCATTGAAAAGCACTTTCCCAACCAGCCCTTTACGGACTCCAACAATTTTGTGTTGTTTCCAATGAGCAGTATGTCATCGACATACAGGACTAGGAATGCAATATCACTCCCACTGACCTTCTTGTATACACAAGACTCATCTGGATTCTTGATGAAACCAAACTTGCTGATGGCTTCATCAAATCGCAGATTCCAACTTCTGCTGGCTTGCTTTAGTCCATAAATGGACTTCTTCAGCTTGCAAACCTTTCCAGCGTTACCTGGATCAACAAAACCTTCTGGCTGTGTCATATACACAGTTTCTTCAAAAATCCCATTAAGGAAGGCGGTTTTGACATCCATTTGCCATATTTCGTAATCGTAATATGAAGCAATCGCTAGGATGATCCGGACGGACTTTAGCATTGCAACTGGTGAAAAAGTTTCATCATAGTCAATCCCGTGGACTTGTCTATAACCTTTTTCCACCAGTCTAGCTTTGTATATCGATACATTTCCATCCTTGTCTGTCTTCACTTTGAAGATCCATTTGCAACCAATGGGTGTATAACCCTCGGGCAAATTTACTTAGTCCAAGACTTAATTTTCAGACATGGAGTCCATCTCGGATTTCATGGCCTCTTTCCATTTTGCAGAGTCGGGGCTCGTCATAGCTTGCTTGTATGTCGCCGGCTCATCACCATCCATAACTAGGATGTCCTGATCATCAGTTAAGACGGTACCGAGGTATCTGTCTGGTTGAGATCTTTGTCGTTGCGACCTACGTAGGGTAATCGGTTGAGCATTTACATTGTCTGTTTGACTCTGACCAATCTTCTTAGATGCTTCCAAAGTATCTAGATTGTCAGTTTTGTCAGGTTGACATTGTTGCTCTTCCTCTCGAACTTCGTCGAGTTCGATTTTCCTCCCGCTTGTCATTTTGGAAAGGTGATCCTTCTCCAAAAAGACACCATCATGAGCAATAAACACTTTGTTCTCGGATTTATTGTAGAAGTAATACCCTTTGGTTTCTTTTGGATATCCCACAAAGAAACACTTATCCGATTTGGGGTGAAGTTTGTCCGAAATTAATCGCTTGACATATGCTTCGCATCCCCAAATCTTGAGAAAAGAGAACCTAGGAGGTTTCTTAGTCCATAATTCATATGTAGTCTTTTCAACAGCTTTTGACGGAGCTCTATTCAGTGTTAGTGCTGTTGTTTGTAGCGCATGTCCCCAGAACAAGATAGAGAGTTCACTAAGACCCATCATTGACCGAACCATGTCTAACAAGGTCCGATTCCTCCGTTCGGACACTCCGTTCCATTGAGGAGTTCCGGGAGGTGTCAACTCTGAAAGAATGCCACATTCTTTCAAGTGATCGTCGAATTCATAACTCAAATATTCGCCACCTCGATTCGATCGAAGTGCTTTAATTTTCTTGCCAAGTTGATTTTCAACCTCTTTCTGAAATTCTTTGAACTTTTCAAAGGATTCAGATTTATTCGACATTAAGTAGATATAGCCATATCTACTATAATCGTCGGTGAAGGTGATGAAATATCGGTAACCTTGCCTTGCGGGTGTGCTCATAGGTCCACATACATCCGTGTGTATTAGACCTAATAAGTCACTTTCTCTTTCTCCCAACTTGGAGAATGGCTGTTTTATCATCTTTCCTAATAGACATCCTTCGCAATTTTCAAACGACTCTAAGTCAAATGAGTCAAGAACACCTTCTTGAAGAAGTTTCTTGATGCGTTTGATGTTAATGTGGCCAAGACGACAATGCCACAAGTAGGTTTGATTCGACTCGATGGTCTTAGCCCTTTTGGCAGTATTCTCGATGTTATAGACTTGTTTGTCTAGTGACAGCACATAAAGACCATTTTATGAATGTGCC